TATTCAAAAGAAGATACGACTCTCACAGTCAAGGAAAGACAAGGCTTCATTGTAAAACATCAGTTGCAAGAAGATTAGCTATCAGTGCCTTATTCATTATTCTCAAAATAATAATCTTAGGGAATTCTTTTCATTTTTATATAAAGTGAATTCACCCTATTTAGTTTAAGGCGATAGGGGATTGATAGATGAATTTTTTCCCAAATCATGAGTAGACACCACATTTCTATTGGATATCACATAGCCTTGTTTTTCCCAAATGTATTCTCATACAGAGAGTAGTGGACTGCAGTTTCGACTTCACTTAGGTCTCATCAACATTCCCAGCTGGACTCAAACCATGGCAATGTAGCGTATGACGTTAACGACCACACAACATTCAAACGAGTGCATTTGAGTGACAGGGCAGATGTGAATTTCGAAAAATGCCAGTCATTTTCCCATATCACATTCTGTAATGGGAATTTATATGTAGCAAAGTATTATTTAATATAATAATCGACTACGTTACTTATATTTCGCTTATAAGTAGGTTTTTAGAGACTACCAGTAGATCATTTGTGCATTAAGGTAATAAGGGGACTGGTAGCTAAACTTTTCGCACAATAATATAAGTATACCTTACATTTTCACTGAAGTTCACATAGCCTTGTTTACCCAAGAGGTATTCCCATCCAGGGTTAACAGCAGTTTTGACATCGCGCTGTAATGCCATGGCTCGAGTCCCGCAGAGTGTGTTGATAGGACCTAGGCGAGGTCCACCATGAATGAGAATATCTTATGGAAAAGCAAGGATATGTGAAATGCAATCGAAATGTAAAGTCTATTCATACCATTGTGGGAAAAATTAAACTACCTTATGATCTACAATGAAATTGTTTGAGAATATGTGATGAAGACAATAATAAAAATGGTATCACTAGTAAAGGAAGACCAGGTCTTGAAAAACTCAACGATCTCACAAAAAAAGGCAAACAAGTATCCAGCTTCCTTATTGCACATTGAAAAAAGAAAAATGACTATGAAATAATCTTTGTAGAAAAATATGAGAAAAACCCGAACTCATATTTGTAGTAGAGATAAGGAGAGTGTTGTAAAAGATTATAAAAAGATAACTTATTAATTTTTAGAAAATGGACCTAAATCCTGTAAGATTAACGTTTTTCAGATAGAGACTTGTTTTATATTATATTAATCTGATAACTAATAATTTTCTTGCCCTGCCAATATGAAAACGAGCAATAGACATAGAAGGCGGGATAAGGGGACAAATGCGAGGTTTATTCTGACCTCGACAGGTCTGTCTGTTAGGCCTCTTTCGGAATCAGTGGCGCCAAATGGAGAAGGGCACTGAATCGCCACAGAGACAGTGTGACGCAGAGATGTGCCTGGCGAAACGGACCTCAGGGGATATAGTGAAGGGCATGTGACAATTTGCGCTATCCGCTGAGCTGGGGGCGAAGGTGAACGTGAGCTGGGCGGGGTCTCCAGTCGTCTCAGGGCAGAATCAGCTTGAGGGCTGGGAACAGCTTTCTCAGGATTAGTCTGATCAGAATGAGACGGAGTCGGGAGGCGGCCCGTCGGCGATGTGGCAGATTCAACTGAGTTGATGGACATAGCTGGGCTTTCGGGTTGAGAGGAAGGGGCTAGACGAAGCTGTTCAATACGCTCCAAAAGAGACTCCTCGACTAAGCGACGCAGATCAGGCAATTCATCAGCTTCGCGAGAAGGTAGTTCATCTGGCGAAACAATCATAATAACGATTTACAAGATAAAAGAAAAGAAAAAAAACATAGCAAAAGAAACTTGCGCTTTTCCATCTTAATAACACTTTATTTTCGTTGATAAATCACTTTTTAAAAGCAAGCAAGGGTCATTTTTAAAGATAAACATTCGCTTAATTTTTAGTATGAAAATCACCTCTCCGACACTACGCGAAATCATGTAAATCATTCTTAAATAAGGTTAGCTGGGCATTTTGACGCAAACAATTTAGCATCACATTGTAATAGTCTATCCATACATCTTCACATTCAATGTTTAATTTTATTACATCATGTATGTGTTGCTTCTGCGGAGCAACGGTTGTTTAGTGGATATGGACTTAACAAAACTGTCATTGTGCGGCCTTGTTTGGGACATATACGCTAGCTGAGCACTCACTCAAACGTTCGCTTTGACTTCTTTCAAGAGATACAGCTTAGCTTCGAGCAGAAACTAGCTTTTTCACGTTAATCTAAATCGCCCCAGATAGCATAAGGTAAAGGACTAATTTAGATTTTCCCATACTGCAATGAGTAGACATCATGCTTCCATTGAATTTTCCTTAACATTGCTCCACAAAAGAGTATTCTCATCCACGGTGGACTACATCAAAGCGGGAATCGAACCCGGGTAGTGCAGCAAATAAACTCGTCTTGTTTCCACTGCGCCATATTACCACGACTGTCCCTGGGTCATAGGGAAGACGTGAATTTCAAGCAAGACCAGACCTCTTTCATATCACATTTATAATTGGTATGCAGATGGAGCAAACTCTGATTTTATCCATAAGATTAGCAACGTTATTTATGTCCACTGGAAGTAGGTCCAGAGACTATCAACACTATTCGGATGAGGATGCTGTTGAGCACCAGGAAAGACAGAAGCTGCAGTCCATCTTGTATCAAAATATTGACTGAGAAGGAATGCATAGTTAGTTTCAATGTAAATGTATAATTTAATGAAATCGTCCTAGGAATATTCATTTATCAAGCATTGATTAGCTTATGCGACCTGAAATAACAAGAACTCATACACGAGAGTTACTGATATTCCTAAATACCTTTATGTTTGTGTATAATTGCGATTGTGCATGTATAAGTCAGGGTAAAATTCATCCGTCACAATGTCTACAAGTTTTCCCACACGAAATAAGAAAGTAGACGAATCGGATTTGTCGGGATTTTACTGCAAAGCATTCAGGAGCTGCGGACAAAACTATATTGTAGAAAGAGGAAGAAAAATCAGAGTAAGAATCAAGTAATATCAAAGGCTTTGCAGGAAAAAGTTTACAAAGAGATCAAAATAGCGGAAAACATTAAACACAAAATCAACTAGAAGGCAACAGAAAGAAGGGTCTGTTACAAGAAAAATATAAGAAAACGGAAGATTACAGAGGTCAATGACATACTTAAGGAAAGAAATTTAATGAACAGACACGGCAATAACAACAAAGAGAAGACGCGTGGATCAAGGGCCAATCTTTAACTAGACGAAATAGGACCGCGAGATGAAACGAGTGAGGAAGGTTTCAGTAAGTGTAGTCTGACCGAGGGCTGGTGCCCAAGACAATAATAGGGCGAAGGATAGCTACAAACAACATAGGAATTTGACATTAAGGCTAGTAGATCCGAGATATAAGTTTAGAGTTTGGTTAAGATACACAGGTTAAATCATAGAGATGTGCTGTGTTGACAATGCCTGATATATACAGGGTCTAGGCGCTCAAGTCGGTGAGTCCATAGTATACGTGCTATTAAAAACTTGTGGCAGACCAAGAGAAATAGCTCCTGGAGTAAAGCGTGAAATCAGTCAACTAGTAAAGACGTGACTCGAATACAAACAAATCAGAAGTAATGAGATGTATTCACCCTATTTCGTCTAAGGTGATGAAGGAGTGGTAGTAGAATTTTCCCACAATGA